TAAGTGCACATATAAGAATAACATCTATTGGATGTCGGGCAGGGGGGAGGGGGAGGGGAGAGGAGGGGATGGGTATATGCATACACAAAGAGTGCGATGCGCACCATCCAAAGGATGAACATACTTGAAACTCGGACTTGGGGGGGGAGGGGGAGCCAAGGGCAACATACGTAACCTAAACATCTGTACTCCCATAATATGCTAAAAGAAAAAAAAGAAAAAAAAAAAAAAGAGTTTGATGGTCTTGTACTCACAGCTCCCTGAGGAGAAACAGCACACCTCGCAGGGCCACTAGGGGGAAATGTGGGCAAAACCCTTTACTGTGGCTTCCCCAGGAGGGAGCAGCTGAGGCAGGGTTAGCAGGCTGAGGACTGTCTGATGAGGAAAGCTTCGGCAGGCTCTGAGGCACAGGGGCTGTGTGGTTGTGTGGTACCTGGCCCTGGGGCGGCTAGGGGGGTGGCCCAGAGGGTGGGAGCCCCAGAAGGGAGAGGGTTGAGGGTATAAAACTGGCTGCTCCAGAGGACTGACTGGCCTCTAGCCAGGGCCTCCAAACTGAGTCATGGCAGCATGTTTTCAAAAACTGTATTATAGGGGGTCACTGATGTTCTTGAATTCATGAGTTGGTATTTTAAATCTTTAAAAAATTTTGGTGAATGTGTCTCCAAATACACATTCCTGCCACATTTTCTCTCCTCCCCCAAAACCCCAGTTACGCATGTTACACCGCCTCACACCTTATTGAGTCTGTTCATTTTTTTTCAATCTTTTTTTCTCTTCGTTCTTCAATTTGGATAATTTCCATGAACCTGTCTTCAAGTTCACTGATCTTTTCTTCTGCAGCGTTTAATCCTCTTTTAAGCCCACCCACAAAATTAGTTCCTTTTAAAAATTTCATCTCTCTCCTAAAATTTCCCATCTGTTCATCCTTTGTGTCTATCCTTTCCTGTAGATTCCATACCTGGAGGACACTATGCTAAATGAAATAACCAGAGAAAGACAAATACTGTGTGATCTCACTTATATGGAGAATCTAAAAAAGTCGAACTCATAGAAACAGAACAATGGGTGCTGGTTGGGGGCGGGGGGTAGGCGAAATGGGAAGATGCTGACCAAAGGGTGCAAGCTTTCAGTCTGTAAGATGAACAAGTTCTCGGGATCTAGTAATGTACAGCATGGATAGTAATGGATGTACCAATTTGTGGTGATCATCATCTAATACACGTGCATGTCAAATCATCACATTGTATACCTTGAATATATACAATCTTTGTCAATTAAGTATTTTAAAATAAAAAAATATAGAGACAAATACAGGACATACCAAAAGTAAAGGCAATAAAAAGCATCCACTTAAGTCTAAGGAAAACATTTATAATTGTTATTTTTAAGTCTTATATAATAAATTCAACATCTTAGTTGTCTATCAGTGTCTTTTTTTTTATTGCATATTCCTGCTTCTTCTCATGTCTACTGATTTGTGATTATATACCGGAAATTCTGAATAATATACTGTAGAGACTCTGGATTCAGGTTTTTCCCCCCACAAAAACTGTTTTGTCTAGATAGTTACTAGTGTAATTGATTTTAGTAGACAATTAAGTTATTACTTTGATTCCTTGAAGTCTTGATTTTAGGCTTTATTAAGGTAGGTCTATTTTAATTTTGCCTTCAGTCCCAGAGGGTAGAATTGAGTCCTGAGCTGTGGTCCTGATCCTAAGGCACGACCCTCTGGGTTTTTAAGGAAAATCTGAAATATGACCTAACCCCTCTAAGTTTGTGGGACATAAATTCCAGTGTTTTCCTCCCCAGCAAGCAGCTGCTGAGATCTTGTCTTGTCTTCCAAGTGTGGCTTTCCCCTGGGCCTCCTGGAATCCTGCCCTGTTTATGCACAATATAGGAGTCAGCTAAGGATTTGAAGGGACTGTGTAAGGGAAATTTTGGGGCTCTGTCTTCCTCCTTTCTTGGGATTTCCCCTTTCAATTTGCAGCTACTCAGACAGCCCTGAACTGAACTGGCTCCTCAGCCTAGTAAGACTGCCACTTTTTGTCTTACTCCCTGTGGGCCACATGAAGAACACTGACTTAAATGTGGATCTTACCCCATGTGTTTCTTTTTTGAAGAGACAGGGTCTTGTTCTGTTGCCCAGGCTGGAGTACAGTGGCCTCATCATAGCTCATTGCAGCCTCTAACTCCTGAGCTGAAGCGATCCTCCTGCCTCAGCCTCCTGACTAGCTGGGACTACAGGCATGTGCCACCATGTCTGGCTAATTTTTCTACTTTTTGTAGAGACAGGTCTTGCTCTTGCTCAGGCTGGTCTCAAACTCCTGGCCTCAAGCCGTCCGCCCACCTAGGCCTCCCAAAGTGCTAGGATTACAAGCGTGAGCCACCGCGCTCAGCCTGTGATTTTCTTCTTTTGACGGTTGAGTCCCTTTCACTTTTTGCCAGTCTCTGGTCACATTCCATTGCATTTCATTGAAATGTATAATTACCAGCAATAGATTAATCTGATACAAGTTGCTCTGCCATTATTGGAAGCCAGACTGTAATTAGATGCTTAAGTGTTATTTAAAATAAAATAAACTCCAACTTCCTTTTATTTCTTTATCCAGGTGACAGTTACACAACTGCTTTCACTTTGTGAAAATCTATCCAGGTGTGTGTTTGTGTACTTTTCTGTACGTGCTATGTACTTCAACAGAAAGTTTGTTACAAGAAAAAAAACGCATATTGTGCCAGCATCCAGTGAAAACCCCTCAGGGTCTTTGTTGTACCCCCAGGATCAAACCCAGACCCTTCTCCTGAAGCTCTCTCCTGGCCATGACTCTGGCCACCCAGGTGCGCTTGCAGCCCCCTCAATGAGACACACACTAGTGTAAGCTCCTCCCTCTCTCCCCACCTCCCTCGTCCCACATGGATAGCTCCTACTTATTCCTCAGGCTTCAACTCAGGCACCATCCCCTTGCCGCAGCTTTTCCTGAACACCAAGTCTGTCCTCCTGCATCTTAGGTGCCCCCTTTTGTGCCCTTGTGGACACCAGGTCCCCCTCCCCACCCTCCCCTCAGCAGTGCACCCATCACACCTGCACTGTCCAGAGAGCACTCAACTGCAGGAAGCCCTGGAGAAGAAGCTCAGAGAACTGGCCAGATGGACGACATCCACGCCACCCTCCTAAGGAACGCACTGACACGGTTAGGCCTGGCTGTCTCATGATGCCTTCTGGCCTCAGGCCCCCCTGTGCCCCCATCTCTTATGGCTGGGGCTGCTGGGGCTGCCTGCCCACCAGATTCTGCCTGGGGCAGCTCCCAGGGGTTGGGCACCTAGAGGAGACCTGGGTGCTATCCCGAGAATCCAAAGAAATGGCTACAACCAGAACCAAGCTCCAGTGCCAGAAAGGACTTAGTGAAGCCTTCCCTCTTCCGTCTGGGTTTGCAGCTTCTGCCAGATGAAGGGTTGGACCCTGCGCGCTGTCAATCTGCCTTTCCTAAACATAAAAGCTGAATGACTGCCGGACAATTTTAAAGAACAGAGGAAAAAGTTTATTGTGTTGAGCAGACCTTATTTTCATTACAGTACCAGGAAATTCATTCTCAATTCCCTTCAGATGCAGAGATTCTGCAGACATTTAAGACCCCAATGCTGTTCCCAAGCAAGGGGCAGCACCTGAACACTATGTTGCATTTAATGGAACAGGATTACAGTAAAACTGGATATTCATAAAGGAGATTTTTTTAAAGTATATAGTTTCTTTAAAAAGTCTAACATTTTCTCCATTTTTCCATGTTTACTTTGTTATTTCTATGGATAACTGGTTGGAAAACATGGTGCTTGATAACCTTTTGTTCTCAAATTGTCAACGTCAGGTTAACATATTTTGCTTGTTGTTGTTAAGAGGCATCATGCTCATCTCTTTGAAAATCAACAATAAGGCAATGCATACAATACCGGTGGGACGGGGGCCTCAGCTCCAGACACCGACTCTGTCCCAGCAAACCTTCCTCATTTGGCCTCTGCGCTGCTGGGTGTAGGGAAAGACTCAAGAAAGGACCTCTTGCTTGCAAAATCATTGCCATGGAGTTTGGACTTTATGGACTACTTCCAGGGTGCATGCAGGCTCTTGAAGCTGATTTTGTGGTTTGTTTTTATAAATTGTCAGTACTCAACACCCTGCGGAGCAAGAGCCTCCACGCAACTCGCTGACTCACTGCCACTACTGCCACCAGGAGTGTTGCTTCTGTATGGAGAACTGAAAGACCAAAGTGAGTGAGAAATGTGTATCCTCCAGATGCTCTGAAATATCGATAACCACCTGAGTTAATGTTTAATTTGTTTAAATTCAATCAGGTAATTACCAAGGTCCTGATTAAGACCTTTCCCTCACTACATCAAGGCAGAGAAAACATGAATTAATAACTTTTTTGGGTCCATGTTAACTCTTGAGTTGAATTATTTCTTTTAATCATTCAGGCGAAAATAGGCATGGCAGTTTTAGAAAAGGATTGCTTTCAAGTATCTGAATTTACTCACAGGGGAGGCGGGGAGAAACAGAGCCATTTTAAACTCATTGGTATGAGAGGTTGTGCATGACCTGTTTCAAATTATGAGGTCAATAAACTATGATTCCTGGCTGAAGGAAACTATGGATATCTTTCCTCCGCATCACGCGGGCCAGTTTCTTCCAAAAGCTGCACTACCAACCGCAGCTCCCAGCCCTCTACTCAGAGACTGCACCCACAACCAGGTCAAAGCTCAGGCAGAGCTGTGACACGGTTCTGAACATGAGGGCTTCAGGACAGCAGAGTAAATTAAGCTCCACTCGTGGAAACTGTTTCTTAATACACATAATCTATGTAATCTATGCTCTCCCAAGAGTTAGGTTCACCATGATGCTTGTGCACTTAGTAGACATGCAAACATCTGTATGTTCAATTCGAAATGCAGCATTTTGACAGATTCACAACTTTATCATTCTTATGGAAAACTAACATGCCATCGCCCTTCAAGTGGTGAGCATTCAGTACCCGAGCCATGGCATGCCCCCACAGCCCCAGCAGCAGGCTGTGACATGCTTTGATGTCAATCAAATGTCACTGTTCACAGAACATAGAAACAGGCTCCTGTTGCTGCATGTCACTCTGACAGAGCACATTTTCATATTACTCCGCCACTTACTCAGACAGAAAATTTTCCACTACAGCATGATTGACAGTAAAAACAAAAAATCCACTATATAAAAATGATGGCTAAGAACAACACACCATGAACAGTTTCCAGAAGCTCGAACACTCGACATAAATTCTTGCTTCTTGGAGAAAATCTCTCTCACCCGCCTTTTCAGTCACAGTATGCAGTCTCAGGGGACAGGGAACAGACACAGCTGACAGAGGCCACATTTTAGCAGTAACATCATTTCCTAGGGATTCGGTTAATTTTGAAGGTGATTATGCCATATGAACCAAAAAAAAGAGACTGGCAGAAGGAGGGCCCTGGACCGTTTCAGAAGCAAGCTGGGTCTCGCCTTACTCAGAGTCAACTCTGACTTCAGAGTGGTGGCGGGTGGGGGCAACAAGTGACAGGAGAGCACACACACCACACGGAGAGCCCAGCGCGCTCTGCACCTCCCATGAATGCGTAAGAGACTGGCAGGAAGACACAGAGAAAGGTGGCCCGGTCCACGCCTCATGGGAACCAGAATCACAAAGCATACCCTAGTGACTGGAGTATTTCCTGTTCAACTTCCCAGACAATAAACTGGGAAAATGCACATTTTTTGTCCATGGTTGTAGAAAGCAGCAGCGGCAGCCGCCTCTCTGAAGGCTTAATTAAATGTAAAGATGAAGCTTGAACCAATGTTTTTTAATCTCACTGACCCTATCTCTTCAGCTGCTCTGGCCAGGTGAGGGCACGAAGGAAGGAAATCATGCTACAGCCTTTGTCAACAGCAGCCATTCTGAGGGACATTCAGTCTCAGTTCAGTTTACCTAATTCTCTTTTAAGCTCTCTCCTCCCCAATTTTTAATGGAATTATGAAAGCAAAGTCAAAATATCCTTCAGAATGACTGGCTAACATTTGCATTTCCTAAGCTAACTTTTGCATTTGAAAATGGGAAAAACAAATTACTTGATACTTGTGATAAGAATATGATTTTTAAAAAAGACTGCACATCAAATATTACCCGGCTTAGAAGGGTGAGGGCTTAGCTATCCATCTGCACCCTGGCCTCCTATTTTTTAAAAGCAGGCAAACTATGAAAGAAAAGGCCTGGGTGCCTTGGAAGGCAGGTGCACGCCCATCAGGTGCTGCTGTGCCGGCAGCCGGGCAGGGATGGAGCCCGGACACTGGAGCCTCCTGCCCGCTCAGGCCAACCCCACACCCAAAGCCTCGACAGCCATTCGCTGGCAAATGCTGCTCTCCAAGGGACAATTGCTGGGCTGTCTAAGTGAAGACACACAACACAAGGATTCAAGGGCAACCAGCGTGGGTACCAAAAGCAACCCACAGTGCTGAAGAAAAGGGAATATAGAACAGTGTATAGGAAAGCACAAGTTCCACAGTCAGAATCTTTCCTGGTCTTAGATCTGGGAGCATTTTGTAGAGAAAGGTCCAATCCATCAGTCCCCTGGGTCTGAGAGAAAATCCCACACGAGAGAGGACACATGATGCAGTGATCGTCTGGAGGGAGCCCTGAGCCCTCTGAGATGATCACTAGAGGGGCTTAGAATGGCTGTATCCAGTAAGGAAATTGATAACAGACATTTTTTTAGAAAGTGGGAAGAAAAGCAAAGACTTCGACAAATACAAAAATTGTTTACACAACAATTACCTAGAAAGTTCACTAGGGTTGGGTGGGGGAGTAATGTTTTCTTCTCAAATAGCCACGATGGTACTAATGGTTTATAAAAGAGAATGGCCAATTTCTGGTCTTCCTCCCTTCCCCCAATACCCCAGAGCCCTCCTACTCCTGATACTCGCCCTACTCTCATCCCAACCCACCCCATTCTGGCCCCAATTAGTCTGCTTAGCCACTGCACCGAGCCAGCCCTGGAGACACCCAATTGGTTGGGTTTCCATTAAACAATTCCACCTAACACTTGGGAAGAGAAGGCAGGGAGGCACAAGCACGTTGGCGTAAACCTTGAGGGGCATGGACCTTGGACAAAGCTTCTGCCAGCCTGGCCCAGTGCAGGGTGGGCATCTGCAGTGCAGCATGGGCTGCAGGTAAACTGAGGTAAAGAAGAACATGGCAGCGCTGGCTGGCCTGCTTCCTGTCACAATGCAGCATGTGTGTGCTCTAGGTGTGGGCACCAGAGGACTCATTTTCTTCCAGTTGCTGCTGCCATTTCCTGCTCTGGTTAGAAGACTGCTCTTTACAGAGTCCCAAAAGATCAGCCTCTTGTCTTCCTCTGAGGTACAAATCCAACAGAACCTTCACCCCAAAGATCCAGCGCCAACCAATGTGTAGATCAAATCTCAGAATCAAAAGGTGTGGCACACCTGCCCAGCCAGTTTATCAGCAGTTGTACAGACAGATCAGAAAAAACTAGCATTTAGTATAAAAATTGTTTTTCAAATGGTGTAATTTCCTATCCTCCTCCAGAGATCATAATTCTTCACGTTTCTGAGGTCCTATGGAAAAGGAGAACAACAGAAAATAAAACAGACTATCCTCAAAGTTAAAAAAAAAAAACACACTGAAACTACCTGTAAACCTCCAACTGAATTGTTTTGACAAGTACAATCTTTACTTTCAGTAAATAAGCATGCATTTCTGGTCAGGACTCTTCTTTTTTCACTAAACAGCATAAACACTTTTCTATATATCAGTGTAGCTCATTCTTAGATGTTTAAACTGTTTTTAATGCTTTTGGCTTATAAATAACAGTAAAATAAATTTCTTTTTGTATATAATGTTTCTCTTCTGTTGAATTATTTCCTTAAGATAAATTTCAAGAGAGGAATTATTGAGGGAATAAACATTGTAAAGGCTCCTGGTGACAGATACACTGCCTTTTAACAAGAGTTGCTCCGATACACAAAGCTTCGGCAAGGTATACCCAGAACAGTTTCATCACCATCTCCCCAGTAAATAGCATGATTAATATGTGTATTTTTCCCATGTAGCAGATATTGATGATAGGCTGCCTTAATTTGATTACTATTTCCTCAAATTCATTTATTATTTGTGTTTTCCTCTTATTTGAACAGTGTGTTCACATTCTTTGCTCATTTATCTAAGGGAATCCTTGAGGTTTTACTAGTGAATTTGAATTAATTATTTTCATAGTGGCTATACAACCTTCTAGCTGTGATATTTAATATAGTCTTTGGGATGTACAGGTGAATCACTCAAGATCCATGTTCTGCAATTGCTCTTTTCAGATTAGTTAAAGCAGAATATCTTAAAATCCACAGCCCATGAAGGTATCAAAACATCTCTACACATCCCACAGATATGTACATTTAATATGTGGCAATTAAAATATAAATTAATATTTTTTAAAAACCCAGAGCCCAACCTGTTAATAGTTTTAAAAAAGTTACTTTTGTATTCTAATGATTTCAAGTGGCTACCACTCAAGATCTACACATAGTAGGAAAAACATTAAAAACTTAAGTCCTTCCTATTCATAGATAAAATTAAAGACAAATACTCCAGCCCTACCCCATTATGCTTGTTTTGAAGAATACTTTTTTCAAATCAATATATACTTTGTCTTGATCTAAGGTTTTTTTTTTTTTTTTTTTTTTCTGAGACAGAGTCTCACTGTGTTGCCCCGGCACTCCTGGGCTCAAGCGATCCTCCTGCCTCAGCCTCCCGAGTAGCTGGGACTACAGGCATGCACCACCATGCCCGGCTAATTTTGTCTCTATATTTTTAGTTGTCCAATTAATTTCTTTCTATTTTTAGTAGAGACGGGGTCTCGCTCTTGCTCAGGCTGGTTTCGAACTCCTGAGCTCAAACAATCCGCCCGCCTCAGCCTCCCAGAGAGCTAGGATTACAGGCGTGAGCCACCGCACCCGGCCTGATCTAAGTTTTTTTATTCACTAGTGCCTTGATAGATTTAATAGGGAAAAAACAAGGACTCTGACAAGAGCTTCCCAAAATGTCAGGTCTACTTATGTATCACAAGACTCATGAACCTAAATAACAATAATCACAATTAAAGTACCCTTCTCTCCCTATCAAAAGAAGACAAAAAAGGGTAGCAATTGCATTAATAAATACTGTCTAGAAGGCCACAAAAAAAGGAAAATAAAAAACAATACTAGTTGATGTCAGGATAGAAAGATTAATGGGAGATTTTTATGTTCCTTTTATTCATTATTCAGTTGTTTCTACAACAAATAAAAATCCGAAACCCAAACAAGTACTGAAGCAAAGGTTAGGGCTTACCTGCTCGGCTCGGCGCTTCTGTCTGCTCCTCAGGGCGTGCTCCCCCTTCTTTCTCCTGCTGGAAACGGGTCTGCAGCTGCTTGATCTCCTGATCATAGTCCTGCCACTCGGGGACGATTCGTACAGCTGCTTCCAGCTTGGGCTCTTTGGTCATTGGATTATTACACTGTGAAAACCAAAGAACACACTTCAGCTGAGCTGAAGAAAGGTACATTACATAGAATTCAAAGGTGTTTCTGTTCTTGGGTTATTAAGTCCTAACTGGACAAAAAGAGCAATACTGAGGGACCAAACGATACAGCAGAAGCAGTATAGCAGTGGGCTGCATAAAGCTGCGTTTACTTCTTCTACAGAGAAGGTTGGGGGCCTGTTGGAAGGCAGGAAAAGGAAAAGGAAAAGTCCATTTGGAAAAATTATAAGGCAAAGAGATAAACTGGAAGCTAAGTAGTGGCTCGGCAGATTCTAAGTAGTGGAAACAGGCCCATCAGGCACTAGGGGATTTGGCTTCATGCTGCAAGCGGAAAAGACAGCTGCTAAAATTACTGTAAGACATCTCGCAGCCCCCAACTCTGCAATTGCAGAGAAAGACTAAGTAAGAAGCGAATGCGGATCATCATCGAGGCACACTCCCCCGTGGATCAGGACGCAGACAGCACCACGGGTAGCTCACCAAGTCAATGGTTTTTGCCCTTTTCTTAGAAGCATCATCACACCACGTTTCACACCAAAGCCATTCTTGAGGGAGGGATTTGATTGGCACCTGATGAATCATGTTATTGGGTAAATCCTGTTTGGTAAAGAAAATAAAACACATGAATCTAAAGTTCTGGGAGAATTTAAATAAATGCATAGTACATCAGTGATGCCAGCTGTTCATTACATATCACATGCCAATCACAAATGTTTAGAGCTGAAAGGTCCTCACCAAATGCCTTAGAGAAGTTAAAGGATTGACTTATGGTGTTTTTTAAAACCTCAAAATTTAGAGGATCCATGAAACATCTACTCATAATAGGCACCTGAAAAGCTTTATCTTAAAAATCACAAATAGTCTACACTTCAACTTCCCTCCATGAGGGCAATTCTAAGAAAAATACTCCTGTTGACTTTTGAAAGTCAACTAAATAGAGTGATGATTCATACACCTTACAGTCTTCTCTCAAAGAAACTCTGAATTTGCCTTGTCTACTGAGACTTGCTCCCAAATAGCTGCCATCCATATTTTTTCTAGCCAATTCTACTCTATGCTTTAAAGCTTTTGTCTCAGGAGAGCTTCTGAGTTTGACACAATAAAACACTCCACTGTCTTAAGACTTACATGGAACAAAAAAAGCTGATGGAATAAAATGCACAGAAATGATTAACTGTGATACTGGTAAAGAATGCTCCATGATGGTACAAAAATAAATAAGTGATGGCTCTCTTTATGAAATCCTTTCAACAAACTAAAATTTATAAGTAGCTAGTAAAGGTATCAAATACTCATCTCAGTGTATCTTATATTCACTTAAAGATTTACAAACTGGTGAACTTGCTGCATTGCTGTAGATCGCTGAATCAAGAACACAATATCAGTTCCAACTCCATACTCTGCTTGAAAAAGAGAACTCAACTTCAGTATTGGTGGGCTAGGTAAATTAGACAAAGATGTCTCCTGAGGACAACTAGAAAAGGTGAATAAATTATGAAAAACACATGCCTTTTGAAGGCATCAGAAAGCTAATAAGACAGTAAAGATTACTGGGCCAGGGGAGAACAGAGGCTCATGAGGATAGCCCTGAAGTTTGGGGGTTTTCCCTCAGAGTCATATGCTGCTCAGTGAGGTTTTCTGAGGTTTTCAACAACCACTCAGCTGTGCGGTAACAAAGATTTAATTGTATATAAGACCTGTGGTGGTTGAGGGAGTTCTGGTGAAACCTCCTTGCTTTAGGTTGGAGGACCAAAGGAACACACCTTATGATTTAAAGTGAGCCAGAAATCGGCCCGACAAAGAATGCAACTTCAACTTCAAATCATCAAAATCTTAAAACTGAATTAAAATAATCCTGGATAGCCAATGCCCCCCTAAGTTCCTGACAAAGAGAACCATAAATTCAGTTGGATGATACCATTATTCTTGACCTCAGATTATCTCCAAAAATAATTCTGCAAAAACAATGCCTGATACACTACAGAAAATAAACAGATATGTGAGAGACAACATGAACAAAAAGATAACAGAAATAACACAATGGAATCAGATCCACAGTAGCTCCATAAATTAGAGATAGCAGGTATCACACATAGACTTTAAAGTAAACATACTCACTATATACAAGATTTAAAAAAATGAGAATTTCAGCAAAGAACTGGAAACAAATAAAAAATGCCAAGTGGAAACACAAAACCAAAATATTATAACCAAAATAAAGAACAAATGGAAAGCTTAACAAATCAGACAGGAAATAACCAGAACAAAGCACAGAGAAACTAAAGTAAGAAAATTCAGAAAAGAAAGTTTAAGAAATGCAGACTTCAATAAAAAGATTTAACATATTTATAACTGGGGTGCTAGGACAAGAGAGACAACACAGCAAAATTGTTATTTCAAGAATAATCACAGAGAATTTTCCAAATCCGATGAAGCCACATATTTAAAAAAAACCCTATTAAGACCAAACAAGAAAAACCCAAAAACAAAACAAAACAAAAAAACCTAGGTATGGGCCAGGCCCGGTGGCTCACACCTATAATCCTAGCACTCTGCAAGGCTGAGGCGGGTGGATCATTTGAGCTCAGGAGTTCGAGACCAGCCTGAGCAAGAGCAAGACCCCGTTTCTACCAAAAATACAAAGAAATTAATTGGATAGCTAAAAATATATAGAAAAAAAAATTAGCCGGGCATGGTGGCACATGCCTGTAGTCCCAGCTACTTGGGAGGCTGAGGCAGAAGGATTGCTTGAGCCCAGGAGTTTGAGGTTGCTGTGAGCTAGCCTAACGCCACGGCACTCTAGCCCGGGCAACAGAGCAAGACTCTGTCTCAAAAAAAAAAAAAAAAAACTAAGTATGTTATAGAGAAATCTGCTGAAAGTCAATACAAATTTTAAACATAGCCAGAAGAAACAGATAATCCTCAAAGGAAAAATAATGACAAGTAACTTCTCAACTGAAACATTGGAAATCAAAAGATAATGGAAAGATAAATTTTATTCAAAGAACTGAAAGAAAATAACTATCAAGATGCTATTTTAAATTCAGTGAAAATATCCTTCAAGAATAAATGTAAATGCAAAAGAATGAAGTTGAACCATTACCTTATATCATATACAAAAAATTAACTAAAAATGTATCAAAGACCTACATGTAAGACCTAAAACTATAAAACTCTGAGAAGAAAACATATGGAGAAAATCTTCATGACATTGGATTTGGCAATGATTTATTGAATATGACACTAAACATACAGGTAACAAAAGAAAAAATAGAATGGGAGAATATATTTGCAAATCATATATTTGATAAAGGGTTAAATTCATAATATATAAAGAACTCCAACAAGTCAAAAACAAAAAAAATCTATTAAAAAATGGGCAACAGACTTGCATAGACATTTCTCCAAAGATGATATACAAATGGTCAATAAGCACATAAAAAGATGTTCAACACCATTTGTCACAGGGGAAATAAAAATCAAAACCACAATGAGATTCCAATTTATACCCATTAAAGGATGGCTATTATCAAAAAGAAAGAAGAAAGAAGAAAAGAAAGGAAGGAAGGAAAGGGAGAAAAAAAGGGAAGGGGAGGAGAGAAGAGGAAAACGAGTGTTGGCAAGGATATGATGAAAATGGAATTCCTGTGTATTTCTTGTAGGAATATATAATGGCGCACCTGCTGCGAAAAACAATTTGGCGGCTTCTTAAAAAGTTAACCATAGAACTACCACGATTCGGCAATTCCACTTCTCAGCATATACCCAAAAGAAGTGAAAGTAAGGACTCAGATACTTGTTCACCAATGTTCACAGAAGCATCACACCACAATAGTCAAAAACTGGAAATAAGCCAAACGCCCATCACCAGACGAATGGATAAACAAAACGTGGTATATACATGCAATGGAATACTATTTGGTCTTAACTATAAGGAAATTGTGACATACGATACAACACAGATTAACTTTGAGGACATTATGCTAAGTGAATTGAGCCAGACACAAAAGGACAAATATCATATGTTCCCATTTATATGAAGTACCTAGAATAGGCAAATTCATAGAGACAGAAAGTAGAATAGAGGGTACCAGGCACTGGGAGGTGGAAAATAGGGGGAATTATTATTTAATGGGTACAAAATTTCAGTTGGGGAAGAAGGAAGTTCTGGAGGTGGATGATGCTGGTGGTTACACAACACTGTTAATGTGCCTAATGCCACTGAACAGTACATTTAAAAATGGTTAAGACAGTGTCTTAGTCCATCTATGTTGCTACAAAGGAATACCTGAGGCTGGGCAATTTATAAAGAAAAGAGGTTTATTTGGCTCATGGTTCTGCAGATTATACAAAAAGCACAGCACCAGCATCTGCTTCTGGTGAGGACCTCAGGAAGCTTCCACTCATGGTAGAAGGTGAAGGGGAGCAGGAATCACATGGAAAGAGGAAGGAAGCCAGAGCGAGGGAAGGGAGGTGCCATGCTCTTTTAATAGTCAGCTCTCACAGGAACTAACAGTGAGAACTCTCTCACTACCATGAGGACGGCACCAAGCCACACGGGGGATCTCCCCCATGACTCAAACATCTCCCACTAACCCCACCTCTAACCTTCATGATCAAATTTCAACATGGGATTTGGAGGGGACAAATATCCAAAATATTAGATAGCAAAGTTTATATCATACATACTTTAATACAATAAAAAATAATAAGCACAAAATAAAGACACTTTCAGACAAGAAAAACTGAAAAAAAAATCTGTTATTAGTTGAACTAACACTAAGGAAAATCAAGGGATATTCTTCAGGCAGAAGGAAAATGATTCTATATGGAAGCTTGGAAACGCAGAGAAGAATGCAAAGTAACAAAACGGTAAACATATGAGTAAATCTAAATCTAAACAGATATGGACTGTACTAAACAAGAATAACATCTTCTAGGGTTTAAAATATAAACAGACCTAAAATACACGTCAACAAGGCATCTAGGTTGGGATGAGGATGGATGGAGTTAAGCAGCTCTGACTGGTTAAATGTGGTCTGCGGACATGCAGCAGGGAGCTTGCTAATGCAGGTTCTTAGGTCTAACACACCTACTGAATCAGAATTGGTGTGGGCCCAGGAATTCATGCTTTAATAAGCTCCCCAGGTGATTCCTGTAAATACACTAAAATTTGAGAAGCACTGTTCTGATGTTTTTGCATTATCTGCTAGGTAGGTAAAATGTACCAATTATCATTAGACTTTGGAAAGTCAGAAATGTACATTGTCATCTCCAGGATAATCATTAAAAGCATTGTAAAAACCTACATGAATTAAAGCTAATAAAGGAAAAATGGAATTATTAAAAATTCTCAATGTGAAAGAAACTGCCAAAGAGGAATAAAGGAACATTAATAGAACAAGTGGAATAAGTAGAAGCACTACAAAAAAAACAAACTTACTCGTGATCACATCAGCTATAAATGGACAAAATGTTCAAATTAAGTGATTGTCACACTGGATGAAAAATAAACTTGACTTTCAAATTTGTGGGCATTAATGATATAGTCTCAAAATATGGCAAATTTTGACAGAAGCAAAGATGAAACAAATTTC